ATATATATATATATAGCATAATAATATACATAGGTGAGGACGGGTACGAGGATGGATGGGGAGTACTCTACCTATCCCTGCCCCATAACCATGTGGGTAATAAAAAAACACCCCTCAATACTCCATTAGAGGCAGGTCCTCGTGGGTACCAACATCCACAGCATAATTGACACCTCTAGTTAACGAATAAGAGAAAATTAAAAGAACTACAAGAATGGAGATAAGGATGAGCCAAGACATGATGTGCTGCATTCAGTTATAAAAAGTCTATACAAGTAAAATAGATGATTTGTTAACTATAGGATGTCAATGCAAGCTTCAGATTCCTAATTGTCTGAGGTCAACTTGTATGAATACTTTGCCCACCAGCAAAATCCACCATTAACTTATAATTCATTATGCTTATAAGAATTTTTCTTGATCTTCTGTTATGCTTAGTCTAAGTTGGACAGGCCAATCAAATTTGATGATTTTCCTGTCTTGTTCGCAATTGGCACAGCCCATAACTTGCCAAAATGCAACCAAAAAAACACTATTGATTGTCCTATCACATTCCTAATCCACCTGACATTCTGAATAAAGAGAGAACCTTCTGCACAATAATTGTCCTATAAAAAAATTTATATTTAGTAGATAATAAGCACTCACACAACACCATTTGAATGTGTTTACATCATGTAGTGCCTGCATAAATTGGTTCATGTGCTCACTATAAATGGACTCCACATCCTGTCATGACATATTGACACACAGTTGACCAACATATATAGCTACCAATTATTTGAACATGAAAAAAATCGTAAATCCCCAACACCAACCTTTCCCCAAAAATATATAATACAAAGGGAGCACACATCTTGAAACACAAAAAGGACCAATTGAAGGGGTTGAACAAAAAGAAATGTAAAAAACAGAAAAGAAAGAAAGAAGTCATGATAGATCAAGAGTTCATTAGACAAGGATATAAATGTAATTTGAAAGGAGTAGTTTCATGGATGATCAACTATAGAAAAAAACTTACCTATTAAGAAAATTAATGAAAAATGCAGAAGAAAAAAGTTCTTATTGACTTGGAACTTGGCATTCCTATAGATGGAATCTATAGATTAACTGAAAGAAATTACTTCTTTGTGGTTCCATCCAAGGTTTTAAATTTTGAATTGTACCGCCCGCTACCGGGCGGTATCAACTGGCGGACAGAATGAGGAGCACGACGGCGAGGGCTACGACGCTCATTGGATGGAGAAGGCAAGATGAAGAAGAGGGTTGGACGTGGAGGGACATGAAGCACTCCGTCGGGCGAAACGCGGTAGGGGGTGGGTCCTCGCTTCGTCGAGCGGAACACTGTAGGGGGCGGGTCCTCGCTCTGTCGAGTGAAACACAATAGGGGGCGGAGGGATCGTGGCCGCTGTGGTTGGGGAGGTCGCGATCGATGACGAAGGAAGGGATCCTGGCCCAGGTAGGACTGTTGCTTCCTCTTCTCGCTCTCGTCATCATCTTGGTCTCTTTCCTCACAGTCGCTGAGGGCGACAGCGACGGGGGAGCGGGAGATGAGCTTGCCCTGCGCTAGATTCCCGCCAGATCTAGCTACCATGGGAGCATTGCGGAGTGCCTCTTAAGGGATGAGTTCGAGCCAGGGATGGAGGTGATGTGTCGCATCCTCGCTTGCTTCGCCATCACCCCCTTTCCGTCTCTCGAGATGGAAAGGAGATTTTTTATAAACAATTTTTATAGTAATTATTACTCATAAACATATGCATATAAAAATACATATGTTTATGAGTAAATATACATATATAAACATATTTTTATATACAAATGTATATAAACATATGTATATAAAAATACATATACCGAGCGGTATGCCCTAGCGTACCGCTGGTATGTCATACCATACCGAGCAAAGCTCGGTACACTGGTACAATATAAAATTAAAAACCTTGATTCCATCCATGTGATCAACGACAAGTATGACAGTCACAAACAGGGCGTACCGCTCGGTATGTCATACCATACCGAGCAAAGCTCGGTACACTGGTACAATGCGAAATTAAAAACCTTGATTCCATCCATGTGATCAACGACAAGTATGACAGTCACAGCACTAGGAAAAGAGGAAAATTACAAAAACAATCAAACATGCATAAGATGTACTATTTTCATAGATGATAAATTGAAAAAAAAAGTACTACTAATATGATAATGTTTTAATTAAGTATTAACACCAAAACATAACAATTCTATAAGTAATTGTTGAAAGATGCAGCTTACATTCAAATGAAAACCTTGAGGCCAAAAGAAACAAATTGAAGGGAACTTCTCGTCCAAGCAATACACTAACATTCGAATCAACCTAGATCAGTCATATTATCCTGGAACAACAAGCCAATCCAAGTCATATCACCCCAGATTGCACAATTGATGAATCAATGGATCCAAGCGAAGTTCATCCTTCTTAGACAATCCACACCCAGTAAAATGCTCCTTGCTAGTTGATTGTGAGATTGAACAGTCAAGCAAATGCCAAGTGATCTGTAGACTAGGATAAGCAATCTACACCTTATGGAATTTGACTATTGACTTATAATGATTATACTCTATTGGTTGAAAACACGATGATACAAGATGTTAATCCTGTTTAGAGAAATTTTTTCTAAAATGTTTCTCACAACGAACAAAGTGTCACTCAACAGGTACATATTAGCTGATATGTATCAGTACGAGCATGAACAGGGATGCGAACCACCAGTCCAGTTTATTTACTTGGTTTCTTAATGGTTCAGGTACACCATCTCATACCAACATACTATATCAGTTCACTGGCCAACAAATACTTGGTATAGTGTGGTACTAAAATCCTTGCTCCAACATATTAGAAGCATTAGACTCAGATCAGGATCACGATGTCATTTATGGTGTTGTTAATTCCAATACAAACAAAAATCAGATGATTTTCTAACCTATTCATCAATAAGAAAGGTGAATACATGAATTCCAACTTTTGAACCACAAACTTTTATAAGCAAGCAATGTTGGCTAAGCTTCAACAAAGGTACAATAATGGTTGTTGATAGCAACTATCGATCCCTAAGACCTTGACAAATGCTGAAATATGATACCTTGAAATTGAGGAAACTCACTATTGTTTATCTTGGTTCATCCCTAAATCAAGATGAACCAAGATAAAAGTGGATCATCACTATATGATTATTATGTTAATTGTTAAAGGCGGAAAGGCAGATACACCATGCATCAATATGGTTGACATGTACATAACAAACAAGAGTGTCTGACAAAGCAATTCTTAGCTTCAAGTTTGGAGCAGGATAGATTATACAATCTGTCACACAATTAACGAACACACATCTAAACCAAATTATATTTTGTAGGCTAAAAAGTTATGGTCAATAACTCCAGTAGGCAATGTCTAATTTGACAAAAGGCAGCATTTGATCCACTACAAAAACAATCCATGAGCATGAATACTTAGGTAGTAGTCCTATATTCAAACAATGAGTTTGATTGCAGACTATTTATCACCTATACGGAAGAATAAAACACAATGAATATTGGTAAGCTAAAGAAGAAAGTGGGTCATACTATACTGCAAGCATATATGATATATCAGGGGTGAAAAGTAGAATAAGATGCATGAAAAACAATAGCACAATGGAGCCTGCAAACAACAGCAAAGGCAAAGCAGGTTCTAATACAACAGTAGAATGCAAAAAATTGTCCAATAAAGTTGTTGAACCCACAACGATAATTCTTCAAATAAATAAATACATATTCAAGCAGCAAAAAATGTAAAGAAAAAAAATATCACATGCAGACTCATTCGATGTACTTCTCCTATAGTTGCAGAGCTTTGCTACACTTGGCATACCTTGTTGTTATAGAACTCAGCCATCTGCCAAGATTCTTCCACATGTGAAGTTGGCATATTCATGCCTGGAAAGATGCAAGATATAAAGGTAAGAATTTCTCGACAATGCAACCAGAGGGAAACAAGAAAATAACTATAAAAGTTGGTAGAATACTGACCACAATCTTTTCCTGAGTAAGCTACCCACGCCAAAGCCGTAAGACTATCAGCAACCGTCTTCAAATGGTTGAAAAATTCAGAACGCCTTCCTTCTGTCAAGGCACTTGCTTTAAGGATCACTTCGTTCAGTGGTTTTAGGAACTCTTGTAAACCAGCAAGGTCAGGTTTCTGCCAATGGAAAAAAGTGCTGATCACACTATGCCCTCCAGGCAACCAGATAGCTATACCAGTCTCCATATTTGGGAACCAGAGCTATTTTACCAAAATAAACAATAAAGAAAGAAGAAGATCATGTAAACTAAAAGTTAAAAAAATCCAAATATGAAAGCTCACCAACAGAACTGAGCAGAGATCAGAATTTCCCAAAGAATCTAAAATTAAGTTTTCATTATTTTTATTGCATGCACATGTATCATCACAAATAATCTTGTTCTAAGCTAGAAGATGTGGACGAGCACAATGTTTTCTCAAGACAGAATCATTTTGGCTGGAATTCATAATTTTCCACAGCCAATGCCAAATGATGCAGGTATATCAATCTCATTAATTGCAAGTCAACCATTTCTTAAGACATTATATCATACTCAACGAGGTTTGCATTTTCAATAAGTGACTCAATTTAGAAAAATAACACGTTAAGATTATGTTGGATCAACTTGATGATTCAGAGTGACAAAATACATAGGACAAATGTATACTTCAGGTTATAAATCTGACTGCTCTCCGATTATAAAAAGTAAGAAAAAGAGCTTCGAAAGTGCTAGGATTCCTTGATAATGCCTCCTGATGACAATCAGATCTAGAGGAACATCCTTCCTGGTCACAAGAAAGCTAACCAAACAAAGAAATTAATAAGAGAATCACCCAGCCCACCAGCGAAGGTTCAACATTCCTGTAACCAAAAGAAGGAAGCGAGGAGATCCGATCAGATGCGACGAACCTGGCACTGTTTGGCCTTGACGAGGAGCTCCTTGAGCACCGCGAAGGCCTCCGCCAGGATCTTGGTGGCCTCCTGGACCTTTCCCCCGATTTTGTCGGCCGCGGCGGAGAGACGGCCGAGGGACCTCTCCACCAGCTCATCGAAGGCGACGACGGCGGGGTCCACGGCGAGGGCAGCGTCGGGGACGCCGGCCGGAGCCGCAAGCGATCCGGCGGCCGCGAGAGCCTCCAGCCGCGCCACCGCCGCTTCCAACCTAGCCACGATCTCCTTCTCCATGCCGCCTTCGACTAGGGTTGGACCGACCACGAAACGAAAGCAGCGGTGGCGGGCTGTTGCGGTTATATACACTCTACATTGAAACTGCTTTTTCCCACTGTGGCTGTGCTGTCATTGTCTTCTCGCCGAAAGGATTAAAGAAGGATTTTTCTTAATACTATTATTTTAATTTAAACTAATCATCTCTTCCGTGATGGAAGACACGTTCGCTGCAATTTTTTTTATATTTAAAATAATTTTCTCGTGCATTCCTCTAAATTAGTAAAATCTAAATCTAATAGTAACAGTAGTTGAAGCTAATTATAAATTATATATGTAATTAGTTATTTTTAGTATTCTAGCCCTAATATTTTTAAAAATTATATTTTGATTTATGTATTTACGAAAATAAAACATTTAATTTTTTTTTCTCTCTTAGTAATTATTAATATAAATATATAATATTTCTGAAAACATATGAAGTTCATTTCTTTTCCTAACTATAGCATCCTAATCGATCATTATCTAAAAAAATAAATTTTGTAAGCCAATAATGCAGTAAATTTAGCTGGCGAAAGGTGGGTATAAAGGCTGTGATATCACTAATTCGCCATTCTTTGGTGTGTTGTAAAGCTGTTGACTCTTTAGATAGATAATCGTCTTTCCGGGAAATAAAAGAAAAGAGGCCCCATATCAATATTTTAAATAATTATTATAAATAATCTATTAAAACATTCATTAATGTTCATGTGGTTTGACTGTAAATAATTATTAACATTAAACTATAAGTTCCAACTCCAAGCATAAAATTTCTTATAAATCCTCTAACATAACCTCTAAATAATTTTTTTTTTGTTGTCTTTTCACTCTGCATTTTCAAAACATTCATTTTCTTATCAAAACCTACATAGAGTGTTTAAAGAATAATAAAATTTTATTTTTTTTAATCTTTCCCTCGCGAAAAAAAAAGCCTTACTTGGATTTTTATTATACAAAGATATTAGATTAAGAAATAAAAAAAATACTTACCATCCCAGTGAGCATTACTACTAATAAATAATCCTTCCAATCTAGTATTAGTCATTACTTGTCAACAATTCTTGTTTATTAAGGGAGGCAGCATGACATTTGTGGAGAGGACATTGTTGCTGTGCTAAATCAAGTTGGACCGGGGGGGTTCTTCCAAATTTAAGAATAGATTCTTTTTTATCTTATGCTGGAAATATTTTTGAAAAGAAATTACTTAAATTAATATAAAAAATATGTTTTTAAATAATTGGACACTATGATTTTAGGTAAGTGATTCTGTGATTTGAATTTACGAAATTAATAAATCAATTATCTTATCACACTTGATCATCATACTTAATATCAACGTCGATCTAGTGTTAACATATAGTTAAAGATTCGATTAGAAAAAAATTATCTATGAACGAGATTAGAGAATACATTATCACTAAACTATGCCTCACGTATATGTGACATTATAATTTGATCTAAATTATGTAAGAGGACGATAGCTTGACTTATAAGGGTGATAGATGTATTAATGTTGACTTAAGCTTAAACAATTTAAGATAATAGCTTAGGCTCAATAAAAGTAACTGACTGGTTATCCCAATAGATATGATCATTAGACTTGGGTTTAAAGTGGAGTGATGCATTAGACTAAAATGAACTTGTGTTGGAAATTATTTTTGAAGGCTGTGACAGCGTTCCCATATTATGGTTTTATTCATGTGATTGGGAATGGCAATCACATGAATAAAATGAACCGTTACTTCCGAGCATTGGAATATTTCTAATCTAATAACTCAAACTTATTAGATTCAATAATTGCAGTGCTTCACTCATTTTGTTATGTTAATTTGTTTAATCGGTTTTTAAGGCCCACTATTCCTTTCACTTACTACCACATGCTTTAATTTTATATTTACACATTTATGTCAAGCTTGCATGCTTCTATTTATTATTATTATTATTATATATATATATATATATATATATATATATATATATATATATATAACTAAAGGAAGTTAGATAATATAAGCTATTTAATTGAATAATAAAAAGACAAGATGAACATTTGTAAAATAACATGAAGTATATATATAATATTAGAACCAATATATAAAAATAGCACATTAATTAATACTAAAAGCATATATAGCATATTATAATATGTAATAAAATAAGGTAAAAAATATACATCGCATAGATAAGTAAAAGCATTTCAAATAAGTAAATTATTTAATTATTGTAGTAAGCTACGTTCTTTGACATTTGACCTTATGGAATTTGTAAAAGGATCTAATAAACAAATTAATTTTGGGACCAATAGAGGGACTAAGACATGAGGTGAATTAGGAGAGATACAATCCGTAAGTAATTAAGAGAGATACACAAAAACCACTATAGTATTTCAATCTACCATCGTCACCCACTTCAAATAATGAGGCATCCGTTCCATTCTTATATGAGAAGAAATGACTTACATAATTTTATTTATAGTGAATATAAATTTGTATACATAAAAAGATATAATCATATAATTTTTTAATTAATAATAAATATAAAATATTTGCTAAATCATTTTATGATTTAGAAGATCATGATCTTTATTGATAGAATCATGATAATATATTATCATAAATTTTATGATTTAGAATCATGATAATATAATATTAAAATATTAAGATGATTATAATAATTTTATCATGATTTAATTTTCTCAATAATATATTTTCTAATATGCCCCGCAAGATGGTGCTTCCATCAGAGACACTGATCTTTGATCGAAATAGAAAAAATTGCTGGCAAGATCAAGGCTTGGTAAGAGCATCTACAAGTTGATCAGAAGATAAGACATAAGAGACATGTAGCTCACTATTTTAAACCTGTCATGAATAAAGTGAAAGTTGATAGCTATGTGTTTCATTCGAGAGTGAAATACAGGATTCACACATAGATATGTTCCTCTCATATTATCACAATATATAGATAGAGGATCACAGATTATGATAAATAGTTAATGTAGCAATAATTGAATCCAACAAAGTTCAGTGGTCGTAGAAGCAATTGTCTAATATTCATCATCCGTAGAAGATCTTACAACATAGTATTTTTTCTTGGAACTCTAATATATTGAATTGTGATCAAGAAATATGATATAAGTACTAGTAGATGTCTTGTCATCCTTATTACCTGCCTAATCGATATCCGAAAATGTATGAAGTAATAGAGGAGAGTCCTTTCGAAAAAATAAGTTATGATCAATAGTGACCTTTAAGTACCAAAGAAGTAGGCTTATGCATAAATTAAGATAATTTATTCAATACATATATAATATCCGGATGAGTAAATGCCAAATACTATAGACTACCAATAACTCGGCGATACTCAACGGCGTCGCTGAGATTAGCATTATCAAATAAGGTAAGAGGAACACTTATAGAGATTGGCATTGTAACAGTATTGGCTTCAATTATTTTGATGCGATCAAAAAGGTTATGAATATACTTTTGTTGAGAAAGAAACAGACCATTTGCCATGTAAATAAATTATTTGAACACCAAGAAAATAACTAAAGGACTCAAGATCTTTGATAGAATTTTTTTTTCCAAGCTAATAAATAAACTGATTAATTATTATTGATTTATTACTAGTAATAATTAAGTCATCCATATAAGCTAGTAAAAATATGATTATGCCTTCATGAGAATAAAATGAATAACAAGTTATCATATTAAGAATTATGAAATCCAACTGAGACTAAATATGTTCCAAGTTCATGATACCAAACACGAGGGGCATTGAAATACGAGGGCCTACTTGAGACAATAAAGAGCCTTGCGTAACTTATAGATATATTGAGAGAGACTTTGATCATTAAAGCCGGGAGGTTTCTTTATAAATACATCCTTTGAAATATGGCTATGAAGAAATGCATTACTCATGTCTAACTATTGAAGTCCCCAATTATTAGATAAAGTAATACATAAAATAATATGAATTATCATTGGCTTCACAATCGGGCTAAATGTGTCATGGTACTCAATGCTTAGATGTTAATGAAATCCCTTTGTAACAAGTCTTGCTTTATACTTATTAATGGATCTATTAGGATTTCGTTTGATTAAAAAAACTCATTTGCACCCTATAAGGTTTTCACCTGGATGGGATGCGATTAAGTCCCATATATCATTTTATAACAAAACATTATATTCTTAAAATATTATTGTTTGTCATTCAAGAATTTTTAAAACTTGGTTAATAGTGGAAGGCCCATAAATAAATTTTTAGGATTATTTTATGGAAACAAAGAAAAATATATTTGGTTTAAAGACTTGAGTGGATCCGAGTGGATAACTTATTATTGGTGAATTGGTGTAGGGTCAATGACTATTGGATGAATTGGTGTAGGGTCAATGACTTCTCTAGGATGTATTGAATAGAAGAATTTAAAAAGTGGGCATTGAAACCAAACCTTAGTATGAATTCTCTTGCTATGTGATACTCTCATGAGGTAGCTGATGGATAAGATAACTTGTTGTTCAGTATATACCATGAAGGAAGGACCTGGTGAGATTCGAGTAGATAAAGTGTTTAGATTAGTGGGTGAGATTGATGTTTCAACCTGGACGGGAATGATAATATGAGGTAGCTTATGAAGTTGAGAAACCTAATTAATAAAGTTATTGGAAGTTAGTCTAGGTAAAAGGGAGTCAGTGATTTATAAGGAACAATAGATTCAACAAAATTAACATGGTGAGAAATGAAAATTCTTTTGGTTGATGGATCAAAACATTTAAAGACATTTTGATTAGTGGATATCCAAGAAAGACACATGGTTTTGATCGAGCATTTAGTTTGTTATCGGTGTAAAATTTTAACCATGGATAACATAGACATCCAAAAATATGTAATTTACTATAGTTAGAAGTGAATCCAAATAGTTTTGCAAATGGTGAAACTATGTTTAAAACTAGAGTAGGCATGTGATTGATAAGATAAGTTGATATGATAAATGCATGAGATCAAAATTAAAGAGGTAGGAAAACTTGAGTAAG